CCTGATATTTAGTACAGGGTCTACAGGGTCTCACTACACAGGTTGGACTTGTTGTGATCCTGTTTTCAGCTTCACAAGTGCTGAGATTACAGGCGCACACCACAACAACGCCCAGTCTCAGTAGCTGTTTTAGCGTGCCCTTGGGAGTGGGGCTGGCACAGCACGCCTGGGGATTGAATCCTAGTCCCTGCGTCTGCCTAAGCAGGCCCTTTAATCCACTGAGCTATCTGGCTGGCCCTCTCTTTTCATTGCTTGACATTTCATTCCACTCATCACTGATTCACCCCTTTCTCTTTTTCCCTTTATTTTTAGGTCACTAATTCAGTGGTTGTTGAATTGTCTTTGGTCATGGATTCCTTTGAAAATGCAAAGAGTATCTCTTAGGAAAATACATGCATGTGGGTTTGGACATGCTTTGTGGTGCAGCAAATGCAGAATGATGGCTTTGTATTATTAAAGAGGCTGCTGTGGATTTCAAAAATACAAAAGACTTTGCCCTCAGCTGTTTCCCTGTAAGCTCTGAATGGGACCTGACAGTCCAGCCCCAGTCTGCCTGCCAGCAGAAGCCAGAAGCGCTGCAAGGATCTCATCAGCCAGGCAGGATGTTGTGAAGGAGATAAGATAGCACAGGGATTTTGCAGGTCCTGGAATACCTGGAGACATTTGAAGACACCCAGAAATTTACAACAAGCCATCGTGGACTCTGCGCACCAAGGTGCAAGACCGCCAGAGAACTGGGACCACAGATGTTTATTAAAATCTTCCCATTTGCTGTCTCCTCCCCCACCTTCTTTCCATCCCTGTAGGAGGGACACGCTTCTCTTTGGTCATGGCACACACCTCATCACTCTGCCTGCCTGAGCCCACAGCACATTGCCTTTACACAAGCCTGGTGGTCTCAGCGGTAGCCCCCAGCGCGTTGTATTTCCTAGTTGAGGGGGAGAAGAATGAGTGACCTGTTACATATTCTTGCTTTGGGGCTAATTCCTCGTTCTATTTGAATAGTGACCCAAATTTGACAGACCCTTGAAGTTATCTATTTTTTTGGCAAAAGGAAACCTATTTTTAAAAATGTTTTAAAAAGGCACAAAATGAACCACAAAACTGAAGTATGTAATGAAATAAAAAAGATCTCTAATGTACATAAGAGAACACACCCACGATGTTTGCCACTCACTCACCTGGGAGAAGTAGGAATCTAGGAAATTCATGTTTATGGCCCCTTCGGCATAGTCCTTAAGGGTTCCCCCTGTGGAGTGCCTGGATCTCAGTGTTCCCAGCCCCAGGTGCCCTGGGGGACAGGGCCCGAGTCCAGTCGCTGCTCCGAACCCTGTCACGGCTCCGGATTCTGTAGTTGCTCTCACTTTGGTGGCCAGTTCCATTCCAGAAGCCCCTTCCACCACCGTCCCTCCGGTGTAGGTATTTGTGCAAACTTCTGAAAATAGGGGAGAAAATTCTCTAACATCTCGTGCTGTGCTTTATTGTGTTTCTCCCCCTGAATCTTTGATGTCTATAAGTAGCTGCCATGTAAAACAAGCATGTGGGAGAAAATGTAAGTATGTGACTAGAAGTGAGGTGTGTTACCGCGCAGGAACAGAGGCTATTAGCTCGTGACCAAAGCTCGGAAACATTACTAATTAAAAAAGTGTATAGTGGAAATTAACTTTCAGTGACAGGAGCCAGAAATAGAAGAATGAAAACAGGGTATTCAGTACCGATCCGTGGAAAGCTTCTAAGGCAGGGCTTGTTTGTTCTCGTGAGAAAAGAAACTGCAATGAAACATCTTGGTTTCAGTAGAGAAGGCAGAAGTGGTGGAGCCTGCCTGCAATCCCAGGGCTAGGAAGGCTGGTGCAGGAGGACTGCTGGGAGTTTAATGTCAGCCTGGAATACAGTCAGGTTTTGTCTCAAAAGAAAAAAACAAAAAAACTCCAAACAAATAAAAAAAGCCAGAGAAAATCTACATAATACAAGCATGCAAATTAGTAGATGCTAATTTGATGTCTTGATGCATAAAGAAAATTAGGTGGTAGAATAGTCACAATTCATTAATTTGTTGTTCATCTATTTTATACAGTAGCTGTGGCACTGGGATAATTTGAATACCAAAGAAATAAATGAATTCACTTATGACAACATTAGTGATCACGTCCTATTATGATTAAATATGAAAAATTAGTAATTGAACTCAAATTAAGATACTCTTAATCTGGGGTGGAGAAAGTAGAACCGAACCAGGGATAAGCAAGCATGAGACTTTAAGTGCAAGTGGAAACCCTACTAATAGACAGATTTGGATGGTATACACAGGGATGTTTGTTACATTTTCCTTTTACTTTTTATGCATGTGAAATATTTTTTGATTTAAAAACTAGTATTTCAGTGCTTGAAAGCTATATTTCAGTTTGTTAAAGTTTAGAAAAAGTATAACAAAACTTTGAAACGATGGCATCAGTGAATAAATTCACTTTTTGAGGCCGAAATTATGTCACAGAAAAGACTAGTATGCAAATATTAAATAGCTTTCTTCATCTTTCAGTATCAATAGCTCCGAGCAGATACATACATATGGACATTACAAAAATAATTTTAAAGTCTTTTAAAGCATATTTCTCCTTTAATTCACCATTGTTTTCAAAAATAAATGTAATGTCTACTCACCAGAACTCTCCACGATATCTACTCCATTAGTGGCAATAGGTGGCACACAAATATTTGTGATTTCCTGCAAATCATAGTCAAAAATTAGAACACTTAAAAGTGGAACCAGTTTTCCGAGCAATCCGGATGAAGTGTGGCCACTTGCAAATGGTGGCATTACAATAAGCCCAAATTCTTGTAAGAGTCACTCTTCCTAGGATTTGGTATTTGAAGATTCAGAGGCTTAAAGGCCACACCCACTCTGCATTACAGCCCTGACTGCTTTTTGGTATCCTTTCTCCCTTTTTCCTGTCTCAAACATACAAATATTTTTCTGTACTTGGCTGCAATGATATTCCACAAACAGGATCCTCACCTTATCCTCAGGTTGGGCTCCTTCAATCCCCCACTGGTGAATTGTTCCTTCCGAACCATCAGGAACTGGGATAAAGCCACCTGCCACTCCCCCAGCGGGACCCCTTTGGCAGTCACAAGTGAGCAGCAGGAGAGGGACCACTAGCAGAAAATCAAGGCAAAATATCAGAACATTTTTATCAGCTAAAAATTATTCAAAACAACAAAGATCAGAGACATTACAAAGAACATTAAAAAACTTAAGATTCCTAATGTGAAGCAAAATTAATTTTTACATACAACATTGGACATGTTATATAATCTTTCTTTGTTCAGTGAACTCACCCATTGATTGGGAGAATAAATCATTGTTTTCATAGACTGCCATAGTACCAGTAAATGAGCTAATTTAGGAAAAGTGCAGTAGCAAACTATGAAGATTCGCTAGTATTGTTAGGATGAGCAACATTTGTTATGGAAGCCAGGTCAGTACTGCATGTGATATACAAAATATTAGACCAAGTGCACAAAAAAGATTTGACATAATGAACGCAGAATCTCAAAATTTAATACAATACTCATATAAATGATACTTTATTGCTGTGTTCAATTCCGTGGTTTTATTACATGAAGGGGAAAAATCATTTGAAAAGGTGATTAATGAAAACTTGGGTGGTCAATTTTTTTAAAAAATGAATTTACAGGGTCTCACTGCATGGATTGGACTGGTAATGACCTTCCTGTTTTCTGCCTCCCAAGTTCTGGGATTACAGGTGCATGCCACCATGCCCAGTCTCAGTATGCTCTGGGGCAGGGCCAGCATCTGCCTAAGCAGGTGCTTTAATCCAATGGGGTATCTGCCCAGCCCTGGTCAGTATTCTTAGGCATAATTTTCAGAAATCTTATCAATTATATGTGCAAATCACACACACACACACACACACACACAACTTTTTCAAAGTGCTGAGTGTATATTTAGTTTAAAACTACATTTTCCCCTGAATACCCTGTAGACCCTTTCCTAAAATACAAAATAAATAAATAAATAAATAATATAAAACTACATTTTGTATATGTCACAAAATTCAAACATGGCATTCTGCCAATGGTAGGATCACACAAAGAAAGCTGTTACTGTGGAATCACTCAATATATTTCCTTTAGCTGCTGTTCAGCGTCACGTTCCCATAAATGCAGTGGCCTATAGGACATGCCATACACACCACAATTAAACATTTCAAAGTCAAACTCATTACTGCAACTTTGAACACCTGTGTTTGATCTATTTTCAGTTTCATTTCAAAGCTTCAGCAACCACTGGCTCTAAAACCTGACTCCTGGGTGTAGTCTGGGCTTGTTACCCAATCTTCCTACTCATGACTATCTTAGTCTATTCAAGCCCTTAAAACGAGACTACCTTAATATGGATAATTTACACATAACAGCAATTCATTGCAAACAGCTCTTTAAATCAAAATGCCATGATATTTGCTATCTGCTCCTGCAGGGGCCATTCCTCAGACATGGCCCCTTTTCTGTGCCCTTGCCTTGGACAAAGGGGGCCCGAGTCTCCCTCCAGCATCTCTACAAGGCCATTGGCCCACTCATATGTGTACCTCAGGACTGAGTTACCCCCAAGAGCACCTCTGTTTGGTAGCGTTGCGTAGCAGCTAGGTCTCATCACTTGGCTTGGGGGAGCACGTTCAGACCCTGGCACTTGCCCCCCAATCTTGTTGAAGTTCTATGGTAATGTTCCGCACACCTATTCTTTCTAGGCTCGTAGGATAGCTCTAAAGAGGCTGTTGACCACCTCTCCTCAGCTATTACAATAACCTCTCATGTGCTCTTCCTCTGTTACGTTCAGCCCATGCTGCTCAGGGTTATCACTCTAAAATATAAAAAAATTTATATTCATAGATCATGATAGAGCGTTTATTTGTGTACCTTTAACAATGCTCTGTCTCCACAGCTTAGAGTGCAGACACTACGGCATGTGTGTAAGCCCCCTTGAATTAGTTCCAAAGAGAGAGATATGTATGGCACATGTGTGGGAAGCCACTAACTATAGCTATGATAACTTATTTCGCTTTTTTATTTTAAAAAAAGCAAGCTGAGAAAATATAGGAAAGCAATAATATTTGTTAAGTCTAAGTGATGGTTAAGCATATGCTTGTAATAGAATTTTCTGTACTTTTTGATGCTTTTAATATATTTTATAAATTTAAAAGAAATTTAAAGGACTTGTAATAGAATGGATCATTTTAAAAATTTGTTTTAACCTTAAATGTCTATTTGCATAATATGGGAAATAATTGTGAACGTGTCAAGGATTTGTGTTTATACAAGAATTTGTTAAGTCTAAGTGATGGTTAAGCATATGCTTGTAATAGAATTTTCTGTACTTTTTGATGCTTTTAATATATTTTATAAATTTAAAAGAAATTTAAAGGACTTGTAATAGAATGGATCATTTTAAAAATTTGTTTTAATCTTAAATGTCTATTTGCATAATATGGGAAATAATTGTGAACGTGTCAAGGATTTGTGTTTATACAAGAATTTGTCCCTAAGTTTTTTTAAGTCGGGGATTAATAGGATTTGATTTAAATGTAATTTTTCAGAATAAAGTAAAATTTATTGAAAAAGGATACATTTGTATAGTTTTCCTAAGTGTGTTCAGTAAGAAACTGTATTAAGTGTGAAAGACCTAACAGGAACGTGTGTGCAGGTGGCTGGCTCTTTTCTGAGGAAATGCTAGAGTACGGGATAGCTTCTAGCAGCCTGTGTCCTAGCAGTGCTCACAGAAAGCTGAACGCTGTGGTGTCCTGCATCATCTCCTCTGAGGTTATTTGACTGCGGCTCTCTTTTAATTTAGAACCTCATGAGACTGGAATATATTTCTGTGCTGCCAAAGCAAGTGCATGAGATTGGAACATGGGGAAGGCGTCCTGGACAGCGCCATGGACCAAGCATGCGGCTCAGCGGAAGAACATTTGCATAGCACATACAACCCTAGCACGGAAAAAATTAAAATACCATGAGTGTCACACTCATGGATAAAGCCATTGTTTTGAGCACGAACACACTGGTCGTGTGCAAAGAGCCTTCACAATTTCTTTTGCTTCTTCTTGATCCACTTGCACTGTTCTAATATCTGCTTAGAGGACTGGTGTTGCTATATTCATATAGATTTGTAGCACGTGACAAATAAGTTCAGCATTTCAGAGTCGTCCCCAGAAATGCCATTTCCCCCCAGCTTTGCCTGCAGAACGATCACAGTGGCTCCTCCCACACTGCACAGATGAGCACAGGCAGTGGAAAAGGCCACTGTGGCTGGTGCCACATGGAGGACATGGGGTGACGCGCAGCACACTCACACAGCAGCAGCAGGAGCCCGAGGAGGAGCAGGCCGATGGCATTGGGGCCCATCCTTGACTGCTGCTTCCGGAGCTCGATATGGGGATCAGTCCCCGAAGCTCTGCAGGAGCCCCGGGCGTCACACTGGCAGACTGTCAGTGTCAACATCTCAGATGACTCGCACTGCCTGTCCTGGGTGCCCGTAACTACAAGGGGGACTCTGTAGACTCCAGGTGATATCTGCGGCTGAGCTTCTAACAGTGCAGAGGTGGCTGTAGAGAAAAGTCATATGAATCAACACAAGGACCATGAGGCTTCTGCTCTAAAACTAATTATTTTTTATAAAAAAGCTAGAATGTTCTTAGAGATCACAGTCCACACCAGTGGGGCTGCCATGGCCCGAGCAGTGATGAGGGCTATAGAGGCTCACTTGGGTCAAGCTGTCTACACCCTCCTTGCCTTCCACGACACAGATAAGCCCAGCACTTAACATCTAGAAGACTGAAGTCCTATCAAAGAGGTCGGCTGGTAGATATCATGGAGATACCAGGACCCCTTGGCCTGGGCTTTCTCCCTCTCCTGGGGGTCTGAGTTAACGCTGAGGTGCATGTGTCCCTCTGAGGGTCACTTCCCTTTTCTTGGGTCTGACTTAATGAGATTGAGTTTCAGCTGTGGCTGCTGCTACCTCAGCAGCTCCTCTAGGTTCTCCTCCATGAGCTGAGGGATGTCGGGTGAGGCTCCTGGGGGTGTGGTCTGTTGCCTTTCTGACTTGGCACTGAGGGTTCCTTCTTCTTTATTGCTCTGTGGCCCCTTTCTGCTTTGGATTCAGGGCAGCAGGCTGTGTTGTTTAACTCATTCATGACCCCATCATACTCTTTGACACTGCATTGTGTTGTCCTTCCCATCCAACAGGTGTTGGCTCTCTCTGGTCTTTGTTTAGCAGCCCCCTCATTGGCTGTGCATCTGGTAAATTACTTTGGGGCCACACATGGCATGTATAGTATGGAGCTAGATACTTATCTCAGATCAGAAGGGACCAAGGTCAGGAGGCCCAAGGGGACAAAATCTCTGGGGACTCTGACAACGGCCAATACCTGTGACTGGAAGGCTTCAGGGGAATATTCATGAGAGGAAGCAAGACGGGTACAGGAAGAGCTAGGAGAAATGAATGGGTGTGGAAAGGATTGGAAGGATTCTGGTGGTCACTATAAACCCCAGGAAGGGAGAGACTAAGTCTAATTTCAATTTCTATGAGGCTTCTAGAAACTATAGATGTAAAATGAACACGATAAAGGTGAGGGGAAAATGATTAGGTTTCTCCCACTGACTAATGGGCTTAGAAACTGTGGTCTACCCTGCCAGAAAGATTCTCAACTTGTGGCATACAGGTGTCCCTGCTATGCTCCCTGAGCAGCCCTGCTTCTCCAGGGCTAAGTGCTGCCTGCACCTTGCTTTGTGAGGGAAACCTTATGCACCTAGAAATCTAGTCAGCTTTCTGATACAACAGATGCCTCACTCTAATCTTTATTCTGCTGTGAAGGTAGAAATAAATATGCTAAAACAATACAAACATTATTGTCTGAAATCCAGAACATATTTAAATGGTACTGACATCATGTCTTGCCATCCCCTTTTTGAAGAGAAGGGGACTTCACAATGCTAGGATTGCATTTTTATTCCAAAGCATTTTTTCAATCATTCTTGGAAAGGACCCACTCTCGAGTGAGTTCTTATTCTTCTAGAAATATAAAGAAGCGGCAACTTTCACATATGGAAGCGATTTCTCTCCCACTCACCGTTGAGGCCTGTGATTCTCCATATGACTGGCAACTTTAGAGGCTGCTCCTCCACTGAGAATGTGTAGGGACCGGCATACCTGTCCCTGTCCAACGTTCTAGCTGAGACAACCACGGAAGGTGATGAGCTACAGATTTCTTCTTTTTCCAGCACAACTGGTGGGCAGCTTTCTTTAAACTCAGGAACTTCAACATGGACTGTGCCAGTGGAAGTTTTACCTGTGTTTTCTATAAGTATAACATTTAGAGTTGAACAAGTGTATGGAGTAAAATTGTAAGAACAACAACAACAACAACGAAAAGAATCTTAAATTTCCTTAAGCCAAGGTAGTGTGTCTTTTCAACAGATACTTTTTATTATAAACATTACCTCCTAATTTAATATCAAGATTTGAAATCAAGTCTTTTTTTCCCATAATTTTATTGAGAAACAAATAGCAATGAGATAGTTTCAAACCAGATTGGTAGGACAGTTTCAATAATTAACACATTGCATACATTCTTCCTAGTGGTTAATTGCTGTAGAAGATGCAGACTGGATATCCTATTTACAAACACTATTAGAACAAATCACTCTATTCATTAAGAGAATGTAACTACATATCTATCCTAACCACTTTGAATACACAGATACAAAATGGACATTCATCTGTATACCCTTTTTTTGTTAAGTTCCATCATTTAAATATTATAGATGTGTAAACTCAGAAAAATATTCTAAAAGAGTCCAGTAGTCCATAATAGTACTGGGTCTTCTGCTTCACCGGCAATGTCAGAAATTGTTGACCTGAGTCCCCTACAGCTTAACATAACACCATGACTTTACTTCTTATACTTCATTTTTATACTTTTCTGCTGGATGGTTAAGACCAAGGTAAAGCAGGACCTATGCAACAAGAGTTGTAGCTTTTGGGTCTGATAAGGTCAGTGAAATCCCCTCAGGATTTATCCTGAGATCCTGTACCTCAGATTATAGAACCTTTGACAGTGTCAGCCATGTGGATGAGTCATGGCCATTGCTTGGCCAATGGGCTCTCTGTGAAAGCCTGAGAGAATGTTTTCTCTCCATGTGACTCTCCTTAGGCACACTCTACATCATCGATCTGAAATCAAGTCTTGAAATCAAGACTTGTAAGGTGATAAATTCAGTGTTTACAAATGGAATGAACACAAATTCATAATGACTTTTTAAACAGTAATAATTTCATTTGTAATTAGTATGTAAAAAACTTTTCTTTCTAAAGAATGAGTCAGAGTATGGGGAATAAACAATTTATAAATTTATTTTATGACCTAACAGATAAATTTCAACATGGGAAAAATTTAAAATGTGGACAATCAAAAACAATAAAATAAAAATCTCTTGTTGGTAATATTATGAGTCATTTCTTTGTTATTGTTAGGGCTTTTTGTAGTTTTTCCCAAATGGAAATATTTTTAGTTTATAGATTTGATTCTTTTTTGGTGTTTATTTATTGCATTGATCAAAAATTAATATTATACTTCAGGAATCATGCATACTCAATAAACTGTACTTTAAAACATTCTAGATAAGGAAATTTTGTTCAAGATATAACTATAGAAGTTTTCTCTAGGTAGTTCATGAAGCAGTTTACATTTAAATTGAACTTCCCTGATAGACTTTCTCTGGTACAGAGCTATATCTCCAGATCCTCTTATTTCTTTTTATTTTGAGACAAGATCTTGCTAAGTTGTCAAGATGGGACTTAACTTGCTATCTTTCTGCCTCAGCCCTCCACAGTGCTGGAATTCAAAGTATATGCCACTGCATAGATTTATGTAGGAATCTACGTCGATCCTCTCAAATCCAGAAATGTCTGAGGATCAAAAAATCTTCCTTCAGTCACAATAAACAATAGGGACCAAAGAGAATTCACTCGCAATATGGACTTCACTGAGAAGTTAGCTTCTCGTAGGTTCCAATCCCCTAAAATAATGAGCTTTAGAGACAAAGAAAATAGGCGCAATAATCCTAATCCTCTACTTATGAAGCAGTGCTAATTCTTTAGAAGAAGCCATCAAAGTAGTTTTCTTACCATCTATGGCCAGAACCTCAGCTGTGATTGTCTTGTTAACTATGAAAGTGGAATCCCGGGCGATGTTTTTGACAAATTTGATTTGAGCAGTTTTTGGATCAATTATTAGTAAACCACCATCATTACGACCCATGATATATCTGTTTTATAACAGAAAAAGAAATAATTTTCTTTCAATATAGAATGTTGTGTACTTAATGAAAATAAGTGATTTAATCTTTAATATATTTATACTTAAGGGCCGGGGAGATAGCTCAGTAGAATAAGCACTTCCCTGGCAAGCGCAAGGGCCTTCAATCCCCAGTTCCTCCCCCGCTAAAAATATATATATTTAAAATACTTTAAAATAAGAGCTTATAAAAGATGTCAGAAAATTACCATGAAGTGAGTGAGTCATTTCATTATCGTTATACATTATTCTAGTTATTTGATTTTCCTCTCTATTAAGTAAAATGCTTATGTCCTTGCTCTTTATAATATAGTTACTAACTTGCATGGTGCTTTTATATTTTAGGTATCTATATATGTATGCATGTATCTATGTATGTATGTGTCTATCATCTATGTATCTTTCCATGCATCTATGTATGTATATGTACTGTGTGTCTATCTTTCTATGTATCTATGTATCTATATGTGTGTTTATCATCTATCTGTCATCTTTCGATGATCCTTGGACTCATGTGTAACAATATTTTATCTGATAGAAACATGGTCTTCTGATAAACTTCTAATTTTTGTAAGATTCAGCTGGAGGCTTATGAAAAATGTGTCCTGATTGTGCTTGACAACCTAAGGCATTGTTTTAGCTTTCACTTTAACTTATGCTAACTTTCCTCAAAGTATGATGTATTCTAATGATTTATCTCCACGTCTCTTTCTGAATTACTGAGCTCCTTATCTTTGTCACCTTCAGTTTTGTATGGCTGGCATATATTTGTCTTTGCATTGGGTTGTAATAAATTATAGATGAAAACTAAGCCGAGGAACAATGAGATGTCATAAAAATAGTCATACCTGACAGACGTGGCAGCCCTGCCTGTGTCTTCATCGATGGCTTCATATGTTCCCAGGACATAATTAATCAATTTGCTACTACTTATACCTTTTTGCACAGTAAATGTCTTGGAAGCAGGACGGAATGAAATTCCTTCTCGTACATCGATTATCTCAATTGTGACCGGAGTTGACTGGACTCGGTATTGAGAGACTATTGACTGGTGAAATGCAGCTTTATTTTTGACAGCAATACTAAATCGCATGCTTTGCATTTGTTCATAATCTAGGGGCTAGAGGAAAAATGAAAAGAAAGGAAGTGTCACACAAACACAACCCGGTTATACTAGTAGAAAGGTCAACCAAGGTGCAGTGGTTGGGTCCACTTAGTTCCATATAATGAAACACTTTCAGAAATCACTGTGATGTGGAGATAAAGGGGGAGGCTTCTTAACTTCTGGGCGTCATCTTGTATCTGATGCTTATAAAGCAGGATGCCTGCTTTGAGACTAACAAAACATCAGCAATCTCTTTAGCAGTAGGAAAAAATCGTGACTTTGTGATAATGATGAGATTTACATCTTATTTCTGCTACTTTTAAAGAAATTAGTGACTTAGAGCACGATGTTCAATTTCTCTGGTTCTGAGTTTTTTGTTTCTAAAACTAATCCTTGCCTCATCAGGTTGCTGTGGGGACAGAATACGTTAGGGCCCACCAAACATTCCTGGAGACGGCAGCTGTGGTCAGTCACGGAATCCTCATGGGGTTCGGGTACCATGATGGCTTTCCTGACTTACAGTTCCTAGATGTGAAGGAAACTGTCTAAACAGCTGGGTTGTCACTGAGGCCTCTGTGGAGCAGTGAGCGTGTGTCCCACCAACTCTTCACACACTGTTTTCAGATGGCCTTGTATTATAAATGTGTTTAACCCTCTTAGTAAAACGACCCAAAATGGGGTCTAAAAAAGCCTAGGATAATCTTTTTTTTTTCAGTAGCTTTTTTTTTTTTTCCTGAGGATAATAAGGAAATGCTAATTTTAGTTACATTTTCTTGTGACTAAAAATAAAATTGTGGCAAGAGGCTTCAATTAGAGTTTTACATTTGCAGTGGCTGGCTTTGCGTGTTCAGTATCTCCTTGGGGATGAGGATGATGTGTAAGCTGCATATTGTAATACAGCAGGTAAGAGAGGATGGCTTTAGGGAACCTGTGTGAAGGTAAGGGATTACTCCTACTTGGGAGAGTTCAAAAGGGTTCTGGGAAGTTTAGGCCTGAGCAGTGTGTTTCAGGAGACTGAGACATCAACTAGGCATACGTGGAAGCCCTCGCAATGTCCAGCCTTGCAGAAGGTGAGGGGAAATAAGCTAGCTGCAGCTGGGCATGCAGACGGGGAAAGGCATCGTATACAGCTGTGCCCTTCATCTTGAAGGGCAGCAGTTGGGTACTGGTTAGAGTCACTGAAGGGGACTGAAGTCACTGCCTGGGTAGGGAGTTACCCATAGTCCTACTGAACTACTCCTTCCTACATTCTTACTGTGTAGGAAAAGTTGGCCTCAATAAGGCTGAGGGAGTATGTTACAGCCAGAGAAGTTTCGAAAGAGAAGACCAAGTGGTACAAATTGTTTCTTAAGAAGAATGTGGTGCGCTGGTGGTAGTGTAAAGAATGCAGTCAAGCAGGGTGGAAGTAGGGACATCCATTCAGAGGCACTGCAGCTGTCTAGACAGCTGAAGCAAGGCTGGCCTTTAGGATAGGTGGCTAGAAGGTGGAGGCGGTGATGCAGCAGGGGGAGCTTCTAGGCAGAGCTTGGTGGTGGCTGGCTGTGTGTTGTGAGGGGATGTCATGACTGTAAGATGACATCCAGGACATTGCAACACTGAATGACTCCAATGCATGGATGGAAACTATCTCATTTCCAAGCATCGCTGGGAGTTTAGAACAAAGCTCTTTCTTCCAAGTGAGGACAGTGGTAGTGTTCTCGCTAAAAAGTTGAATAGAATGAAACCTTTTGTACAGCTTCTAGAAGCTCCCTTGATAAGAAAACATTTTGGGTCTGTCATCCCACTGGACTTAACTGATGAAAGAAATTCCCGTATGTCCTAAAGTCCTACGTCAAGGAATGTCAACAAAGAGTCATTATTCCTTCTGGTCTATGCCATATTCAGGTAGAGACAGCTTTGCATTATGTTGCATAGTGATTCTGTCATAGTGAAGCACATGAAAGGGGACCCTTGCAAGTTTTGCTTGTACATGCCCATTTTCTAGGAAGTTGTTTGTTTTTTCTCTGATGACAATAGCTAACTCACTTCAGACAGCTTCACAAGCTGTAATTCCATGCACTCTCCTCTCTTCCTAGCTTCAACCTAAATGCAGACAGTGAATTTGATTAGGTCAGGACATGTGTTGTACTTTCCTGTGATGAAAGCAAGCACACCCATAAGCATGTGTGTTAGTGCATGTATGCTGACTACCTGAAGTATGTTAGCTTGGAAAGGGATGAACCAACATGTTAAGAGAAGTCTTTAGGTAACGGGGTTCATTTTTAAAATAGTGTGTATTTTTGCATCTTTATATGAGGGAGTTCTGTTATTATTGATAAAGCTTATTTGTAGAAATGATAGTTTGGGTTAGTGTATTTAAAAAAATTTTTTGTACGAGGGATTGAACTCAGGACCTTGCATTTGCCAGGCAGGCACTTGTACCACTGAGCTATCTCCCCAGCCTAGAGTTTGTTTTTAAGAAGACCCAAGGCTTACCTTAACCAACTTCAGGATGCCTTCATTGCTTCTTGGGTCAGTTTCTATTTCAAACCATTTCCCTTCATTTCCAGAGGTGAAGAAGTACACGGCCCGCCAGTTGTCTGTGTACTCCTCATCCCAGTCTGTCACTTGAAATCGAAGTAAATCAGAGCTGAGAGCATTTTCCTTAATACGCGCCGAATACTGAAGAAGAGAAAAGCCAAATTTAAGACTCAGTGCGGGATTTTACCTAAAATGATTACATTTGTTTTAAATGGAATCATTACTTCACAAGTTAAGTATCGTCTCCTTATGAGTTTCTGAATTTCTTCCTTCCCTTCCCTTCTCTACTCTTCTACTCTCCCCTCCCCTCCCTTCCTCCCTTCCTCCCTCCCTGCTTCTCTCTCTCTCATACTCTTACTGTCACTCTTTCTTCTGAGATACTTTTTTCTTTTCTTTTTTTAAAAATAATTTTATTGAGAAGCAAATAGCAATAAGACTGTTTCAAAACCAATTAATAGAACAGTTTCAATAATTAATACATTGCATATTGTTGTCTTCTTAGTGGTTATTCAGAGTAAAAGATGCAGACATGATATCCTGTCCACAAACGCTATTAGAACAATTCTTTCTATTCATTGAATTAAGAGAAAGTAGCTATTTATCTATCCTATTTTGAATATACAGATACGAAACATTCGTTCATTTGTATCCCCTTTTTTTGTTTAGTTTTGGCAGAGAAGGGTATTCCATTGTCATTTAAATATTGTAGGTGTGTGAATTCAGCAAAATATTCCAATATAGTCTAGTAGTCCATAATAGTAGTGGGTTATCTATAGGACTGGCAATGTCAGAAGTTGTTGGCTTGAGCCTTTTACAGCTCATATTAATATGGCTTTACTTTTTATATCTTGTTTTTATACTCTTCTGCTGGATGGTTAAGACCAAGATAAAGCAAGACCTATATAATAATGTAACTTTTGTATCTGATAAGGTCAGTCAAGTACCCTCAGGATTTATCCTGAAACTCTGTACTACAATTTGTAGATCCTTTGTCAGTGAGACACTTTTTTCTTTTGAGATGCTCAGATTGGTCTTAAGCTCACTGTGTAGCCCAGGCTGTCATCAAACGCACAGTCCTCATGCCTTAGCCTCCTGAGTGAGTCCTGGAACTACAAGTATGTGCCACTATACATACCTGGCCTCTGAATTCTTATATTTTTAAAAAGCCTTTAAAAATTATTTATTCATTTATTTATTTAGTGTGTGGCCAGCTCAGCCAGCCATGGGGGTGGGGCTGGTATAGCAGCATGTGATGCCAGGGATTGAACAGCGGTCCCTGCACTCTGCCTAAGCAGGTGCTTTAGACCGCTGCGCTGTCTCACCAACCCACTTTTTTTTTTTTTTTAAAGAATAGTCCAGAAAGCATGTAAGCTAGAAAGAAGGAAAATACTGAATGTAAGTGAATATCTATCTATCTATCTATCTATCTATCTATCTATCTATCTATCATCTATCTATCTATCTATCTATCTATCATCTATCTATCTATTTCAGAGGACAAATGGTGTACCTGGGAATACTTAAGCACTGGGAAGTTGTCGTTGACGTCTTTCACTTTAACATCGCATTCACATTGAGTCGACAGTCCAACTCCATCTTGGTCTGCACCACTCACAACCAGACGATAGCTGCTAAATTGCTAAATTTGGAGGGAAAAATCATTATTAATCTTTCAAGAAATAAATGGCCTGCCCTTACTTTCTGTGGGTAATGCAGTGTAAACACTGAGGTTCATGGCTCGTGGGTTTATGCAGCCTTAGTTGCCCATGAGGGAAGAGGGCTGTGTGGCTTGAAATGCTGGGGTGCAGATCTTGAAGGGCCTGCCACACTTTGCTCTTTTGTAAGTGTCTCATAGGAAGGCTCTCCCCTTGGAGCAGAAGTGGGCAATGAGGGTGTGGGGTGATCGTCTGAAGGGGGCTTGCTGGTGGACCACCCGCTACTCTGATGGTAGCATCATTGGTACAAAGGCAACGTGGAGTTCAACAAGATACAGCCTTGGCAGGGATGGGTGGTGGTGAGGCAATGGGGAGAAAAGAGAAATAGGCTTTTCTGGTGTTCTGAAAGCAGGGATGAAATTCAAAGGAAAAGCCTAAGTACAAAGTATGACATCAAAGCAGGCTTTTACTCCAGATAGGGATTTCTTCCCTCTCTTACAATTTTTCTTTTCCTTCTTCTAACTCTGGGAGTTAGTCACAGTGCAGTCTTTGCCCAGGAGGCCAGTGCCTTCTGTTGCTGTCACACCTTGACTTCCACTGGCATGTACTGCGTACGCTGTGTGTGGAGGTCCCAGGTCCACAACCCACCCACAGAATCCCACTGAAGAAGGGTCTCGAGTGACCCAGGGGAATACTAGCAGCCGCTTTTCTTTCTCCTTTAATTCCCAGAGGAACGTGTGTCTTCAGTTTCTCACAGTCAAACCCTTTCTTTTTGAACGTCTTTAAGTGACTTGCTTTACCTCCCGATCAAGAGCGTTGGTCAAAGTGCGGACTTCTCCAGTGTTTCTGCTTATTAGGAACATGGGTGTGCCTGCAGGCTCCTGGGAGATGATTTTGAAGGCAATTTTAGAGTTCAGGTGGTTTGGTTCATCTGCGTCTGTGGCGTTTAATATCATCACCAAGGAGTCTAGGAACACAGGAAAACATCCACTGAGGAATGCATAAAGATCAACATTGTGCTTCCAGTAAATATTTACTGCAATCTCACATTGACTTTCTGTATCTTAAAGCTACCTCTATGCACAAAAAATGTACATGGCACTTGTGGTATCGGTTTCTGGGTCTCTTAGCTAAGTAGAACTGTGCCACCTTCCACAAAAATCTTCCAGTTCTCTTTATTACTTCTTTGATGTGTGGCCTTCTGATTCTCCCCTTTTCCTAATGATCTAAGTAAAGTATGTCTCTATCCCTTAAACCTAAAATACCCCAACTTCTGCATCCAGGGTAAGGCTGCCTCTTCAGCTTTGTGACTGTCTGCTGTTCATGGAGCTTGTAGATATAGAAATAGATACTATCAACCTCATAATAAGAGTGGCATCTAGAAATCCAATGGTGGTGGCTTATTAGCTCAAACACAAACTTTAGCAAGAAGAACTATACTAGTTTTTGATGAATTTGTTTTTGCAATACAATGAAGAAATTAATGGAGTTAAGTTAGCTTGTAAAGGGCTGGGGAGATGGTTCAGTAGAATAAGTGCTTTCCTGGCAAGCGCAAGGGCCTGAGTTCAATCCCTGGTTCCGGGAAAAAAAAAAAGTTAGCTTGTAAAAATGATAAACCATAGTGGTTCTTATAATTGAAAAATAGGTGAATTGCAAGTGGTAGGTACTCTGAGACTTACTTGAAGCACTGTTTTCTTCAATTTCACCCTTGAATATTCTTTGGGAAAATACTGGAGCATTATCGTTGACATCTAAAATTTTGACCGTTAATAAAAGTGGTTTCTCTACGTCTTGTCCTAGGACATTTAGAGCTCGACATGTGATCTGGGAACAGAGGGAATGTTAATTATTACTCTACCAAGTCAGCCTGCATATTATTAAGACTCCTAGAATCAAGGCCTCTGTTGGCATGTGTGGAACTTTGGTGTAAATAAGAAAAACCTTTCTTGAAAGGAAGGAGATAATGGAGAAAGGTACCCACTCTTGCCTCTTATTCCCAGCTGATGTGTCTCAGCTCAGGATGAGGCTCTTGGTGAATGGGGTGCTGGGTTTTGGCCCTCACCCATCACCGTCCCTGCAGGTAATCAAACCCCCAGTGGAGGTTCTTTGTAGAAGGATCCATGTTGCTATTTATTGGTGGACTGGTTCATGTACTTCTCTCTTTTCTACATTAGCTAGTAAGAGAGTCACTTTCTAAAGCTTTAGAATATGAGATAAGGGGAAGGGAAACCTGATGTTGAGTATACACACTTACCAGGAAGCTTGGGGTTTCTTCTCGATCAACGATTGCTGTTATATTAATTTCACCAGTGTTTGGGTCAACAATGAAGATTCCAAAAGGGGGCTGATCGATTCCCACTCCAGAAATCCTATAGGTAATTTTCTGGTTTGTTTGGAAATCTGAAGTAATCTGCAACCCCAAATACCCAAAATGTTAAGGTGTCAATATCCCAGGCCTCTTCTTTCTCCATTCTCTTCCATCTCCATAGTCTAAAGTCATTTCGTTCATTTGATCCCCTCTTTCTCACATTATAAACTCTACCTTTTGCTTTATTAGATGATAGGAAGATGAAATAAACTCAAGGTGTGACTTGTGCTGACAAGTATTGACCTGCATGTGTTAATTCCTTGGGCTTTGTAATATTTACTTGCTCAGATTGTGACCAATGTTAAAATGCTGAGAGATGGACTGAGTGTAGCTCAGTGGCACAGCGCTTGTCTCTGATGCTCAAACCTTGGATTCTATCCCAAGCACCACACAAAAAATTGTTGAGAAAGTCAAGCACCCTTACTATTGTGATTCCTACTCCTGAGTTCTCACTCCCTATGTGACAACATTAACAGAATAATGCTTATTTAAGTTTAAAGAAGAGGACACAAGGGGGAAAGGGGAACACAGTTATATAGTAGGTGTCAAAATATGTAATAAGATGTATTGCTTTTTATTATTAAGATTTTGAGCCTTTTACTAGGGTGATTTCAAATATATACACTAAATTAGAAGAGTGCACTAACCCTGATACACATCTCCCAGTTTCAACCGTTATTCATACACAGTCAGTTCAATATTTTTTCTCCAACTCTCTCTGGTTATTTTAGCTCTATTTTTTCATCATAGTCTGTTAGACTATGGATCCAAGGAGGCTTATATATTAAAATAGGTCAACAGTGACTCTTAATTTTATGACTCTAGGAATTATATAGTACTTCCACCTTCTTTTCCTTACTTTTATTATTGTTTTACTTTTTGTTAGTGATACTACTTTACTATCCTATGAACTTCCCTGTATGCATTTTGCTAATTGAAGTTAGCATACTATTTTAATTTACATATGACATATTTCATCTAAAGAGCCACAGTGGCCCTGCTGAGGCGACTTACCTTGGCAATGGGGTTTCTTTTGGAGTTGTCTTCTCTTTCTCTGCAGGGAGTTGCAAACTTCACCCATTCACGTTTGTACCTCCTTTTGCCCTGTTGAACTGCTGTCTCTTCCTTTCCATGTGGCTCTTTTGTCTGGTATGAAAAGAACTCCATTGTACTATGCATGCTGTGGCAGTTTTTGCTTTGAATGTCACTTATGGACACCAAGGTTGAGCAACTCCCTAAGTTTCAAGATCTCTTAGACCGTTAGATGTTTACCTCACTCTGATGCTTCATCAAGGAAGAAACTTTAAGACTTCTACAAAGCTACATAATTTCTACTATTAGTTATCAATCATATTTTATGTATTTTATATGCTGTACAGTATCTAATTGTTCTAGACATATAGGATGTCACCTGCTGATTTGCTTAAATGGAGAAAAACAATGCTTGGGATAAAGCATGCTACTAACATGTACACAAGACATTTTTCTAAACATGCATGCATTAGTTGCTAGAATTTTCACTTTACAAATTTTATAATTATCAAGTAATTTTAAATGTTAACATTTTCCTGAAATACAATTTTAATTAAAAAAACCCCTTTATTTTCATCACCAAAAATGTTCTCATACTTTACCTCTATCCGCAATTCTCCATGAACCAACACGAACACCTGTAGGTATTTAAATAGAGTCAAGTTACATGTATGCTCTTCAAATAAATAATTACATAAAGTTAATAATCCTGACTGTTGTCGTCTATGGTGGATATTATAGCTTGATTCGATTTCTGAAGAACCTGGTTTGGAGAAGCCTTATTCATAGAATACACACCCACCAGCAAGAGGATTTGTTTTCAATATAAACAAGTTATTCCAGTTTTTTAATCAGACAATAGAATTTCAGTGATATAAAGAAAGACCTACTGGACTTTGTACAACTGAACCTAGCAGCCGGTTATGGCAACCAAATATTTTTTTATGTG